AAAGGTTAGACACTGTCATCACCACCTGTGTCCGGTGAGTGGGTCCACATCACTGGTATTCAGCTACACCAGTTTGTGCATCTCGCTCTTCCCGTGTCACTGCAAGACACTGCCGGCACCCTGCTCCGCAACTTGCTGGGCTGGGCTTTGGAATGAGCTGAGGCAGGATAACAGCTCTTACCCTGTAAAACTGATGTGTAGAAGAAATTTTCAGTGATCTAGCTTTCCCTTAAGGCAGACACAGGCACAGACAGACACAAGCACAGACAGACACAAGCACAGACAGACACAAGCACAGACAGACAGATACAGGCACAGGTAGACACACACACACACAGCACACACACACACACACACACACACACACACACACACACACACACACACACACACACACACACACACACACACACACACACCGTGCTTGGATCCTTCCTGTTCCTGATGTACATAAATGACCTGCCGGAGGAAATTGAATGCTACGTATCGGTACAAATGATGTGAAACTAATGAGGAAGATAACCAGAGAGGACAGGGAGAAGCTGCAAGAGGCGCTGCGAACGTGGTCTACAAATTGGCTGTTGGAATTCAATCTTGATAAGTGCAGAGTAATGTGAATAGTGGAGAGAATGTAAAAAAGCTGAATGTGGTGACTATGTGGGTCAGCCGGTCACTAATAGCAGCAGTCTGGTTGAGGAGGCGATCAACGGAAGAGCCTGGCCTCAGACCGGGCTGCGAGGGGGGGGAAAGTTCTCGAAACAGGTCACAGGTAAATTCCAGCGTGGTAACTTGGAAGTCACGTGACCGTGACTGACTCTTGGCTCTGTGTTCCTGCTGGGTGACGTCTCTTTCTCCTCCTCCTCCTCCTCCTCCTCCTCCTCCGCCTCGGCTCAAGGACCAACTTGACATTAAGAACTAACAAGATACGCTCACCAGAGTGACATTCCACAGCTGGTCCAGGTGACTCACTCACTGGCCTCAACATTTGATGGTGGCCTTTTCTGGCCGCGACCTTGTGCTGCAGGGGAAGCGGGATAGTGTCAGGGAAAGAAGGAGAGCGAGGGGAAACGGAAAGGGGACGGGAGAATAGGAGAGGGGGGGGGGAATGGGGATGATGCAAGTGAGGCATGGAGGGATGCAAGGACTTACTGTGAAATGGCAAGGAGAGGATGCTGGCCTTGGCACCGTCTAAGGAGAAGTATAGAGAGGAGGCTGAGATCAAGCTCAAGGTGGTGGTGGTTTGGTGATGCAAAAATTTTGATTAAGAGTAACAAACCTCTGGTCCTCTGTTACTTGTTGGACATCGGGTATATAATGGTTTTGCTAGTGGGCTAGAAAACATATAATGGGCTTGTGAGTCTTATATTTAAAAATTAGGTTTATTTCTGTGACTTAGGTGAGCTTCGCCCCCATCAGCCGGAGCGTACAAGAATGGAGGCGGATTCTGAATCAATTGGTGATCAAGTAGGCTCGGTCTTCACGAACGACAGGTGGGAACTTGACACCTGTACACTGACCCGCTTAGTTTCAGCACTGGGAGCAGTGATAAATTTAGGTATTTTCGCGCTAAATACAGTAGGGTCGGAACCTATGGCAAGCAGTCCTAAATCTAGCTGGCTAGTTAGTTGTTTACAATCGTGTCATTACGATTTCGCAAGTCATTGGTTTTATTCGTTAGCAAACTGTTTCTTGTCTAAGGTTTTTTTCTTGTACCGCGATTAAGCAAGACATTTATGTTATTTCATTTATATTTTAATATAAGAATGAGCGAATAAGTTTATCAAGAGAGATAAATGTGGTTGCCTGTGTATTTGTAAGTCAGGTCTTCTACTCTGTTTCTCTGCAGTGTTACGTAAAGGTTTTCACCGAAGTGTTCCGAGCAAGATATTCACTGTAGTATTAGTGTTGTTTCGTCTTCTCTCGAGACTTGTATCTTGACATGGCCTCATTTTTCTTCTTTCATACCTTTTGCACCTGCTCTAGCAACTCGCCTTAATTTCATAATTAATAATTCACCTCTTTCATTTGGCGAGACTCGAGGCTACACCAGGCGCTGTCCAGACTCGCTGGAAAGTATGTCTTCGGTTTGAGATCAAAAGTGGGAGGCGAGAAGTGAGCTTTTTTCATTTTTCGTGTGATATGAGATTAGAGATGAGATAATTTTCTTGCTCTACCTTATCTCCCGTATAAGATCATAACCTCTCGTGTTATGTGGACGGGAACACGACAGTCTGACATATCATAGCACATCGAGGACACAGAAAACCTCCAAGCCTTTGTAAGTAGAATGTACCAGTGGACCACAGACAACAGTGTATTATTTAACGAGGAGACTATTTAAGTAATATGAAAAGAAACACGAAATAAATTAGAATACAAAATGTAATCAAGCCACTGTTGAGGAGAAAGGTAATTCAAAAGACCTGGGAGAAAGGAGTAAACACGTCGGGAGATTTTACGTTTAATCAGCACAACAGCGCTATCATCACAGCTGCAAAGAAGACAATAGATTGAATCTAAATCTTCTTCAGAGCAAGAGAGGCCAAGTCAGTGGTGATACTATATAATATACTTATACTCTTTAGAGCACACGGAATATTACTGCACAAGAACAGTAACGTTTAAGGATTGGGAAATTACAGATCCGGAAGCTGTATATATAACTTACGCTGACCGCATATATTCAAACACCTAAGTTATTAGTAATGTTGCAATCCCTTAAACCGTACCCTCTGACCATAGGCGAGAAAGATACATCATTATTTATACCTGTGCAGTAATGGAGGAGTTAGTTCCGGAATCGAACTTTACGAGAGCGAGAGACAAGGTACAGTGTATAAAAGTAGAGGTGCAGTGATTACACTGAAAGATATTTCAACAAGTTTAAAGCTCCAGTGCTTCATAAATAGGAAAATTACCCCCTAAAAATGAAGCTTTTAACTGAATTCAAGGGGAACTTGACAGATTCCTGGAAACTGTTCCTAATTAATCTGGCTACGGTGCCTTTGCACCAAGTTCCATGACCGCCAACAGTCTGACTGATCAGACCTTCATTCGTGAGGTCTGGTCTGATACCTGAGCATGGGTACAATGACCTCTGGAACCATCAACACGGGAACACCAGGCAGGCAGGTAGGTAGCCTGCTTATTCAGTACCTTGTACTTTCTAATATGGTAGTAGTGACACTTAATTTCATCTTGATTATTTTCCACCAGTAGCAGTGAAACATAAATCCAGTACCAGGTGTGGTTCACATGTGTACATAACTGGTTCTTTAACTCTAGTGTAGTGACGCTACTTAATATTGTAGGATTTAGTGAGATAAATTAGAACTATTGTGGTATTAGAGATTGTGATATTCTACCATCCCGTATCCTTATCCTCCACCACCCTGTATCACTGTCCTGCACCACCCTGTATCACTGTCCTGCACCTCCCTGTATCCCTGTCCTGCACTTCCCTGTATCACTATCCTCCACCACCCTGTATCCCTGTCCTGCACCACCCTGTATCCCTGTTCTGCACTTCCCTGTATCCCTATGCTGCACAACCCTGTAATCCTGCTTTGCACCACCTTGTAATCCTGTCCTGCACCACCCTGTAATCCTGTTCTGCGCCACCCTGCAATCCTGCCCTACACCACTCTGTAATTCTGCCCTGAACCACCCTGTAATCCTACTCTACATCACCCTGTAATCCTCCCCTGCTTCACCTTGTAATCCTCCCCTGCGCCACCCTGTTATCCTGCTTTGCACCACCCCGTAATACTATCCTGCATTACCCTGTAACCCTGACTTGCACTACCCTGTAACCCTGCCCTGCATCATCTTGTAATCTTGCCCTGCTCCACCCTATAATCCTGCCCTGCACCACCCTGTAATCCTGCCCTGCACCACCCTATAATCCTACCCTGCACCACCCTGTAATCCTTCCCTGCACCACCATGTTATCCTGCCCTGCACCACCCTATAATCCTGCCCTGCACCACCCTGTAATCCTGCCCTGCACCACCCTATAATCCTACCCTGCACCACCCTGTAATCCTTCCCTGCACCACCATGTTATCCTGCCCTGCACCACCCTATAATCCTGCCCTGCACCACCCTGTTATCCTGACCTGCACCACCCTATAATCCTACCCTGCACCACCCTGTAATCCTTCCCTGCACCACCCAGTTATCCTGCCCTGCACCACCCTATAATCCTGCCCTGCACCACCCTGTTATCCTGCCCTGCACCACCCTATAATCCTGCCCTGCACCACCCTGTTATCCTGCCCTGCAGTACCCTATAATCCTGCCCTGCACCACCCTGTTATCCTGCCCTGCACTACCCTATAATCCTGCCCTGCACCACCCTGTAACTGAAGTTTATACCAGCCTGGAAAGAGAGCGTTCGTGCCTGTGCGTGTGTACACGCAAGCCTACTTGCGTGTGCGCCTGCGCATGAGCATATGTGCGTGTGTGTGTGTGTCTGCGCATGCGTATATGCGAGTGCGTGTGTGCTTATGCGCGCCTGTGTGTTTCTGTGCACGTGTGTTTGCGTGTGTGGTGGTGTGCAAGTGCGTGTTCACGTGTGTGTGCGTGTCTCTCTCCACTGAGTATAACAGTTGTAGTTAATTTTATTAAAGTAGATGTCGAAGCTTACTGATGTCTTGATTATTCTTCTTTTTCTGCAGCATTCTACTGTCTATCCTGCCTTATCCCTTGGCCTTATCTAACCCCTCTCATAATTATCCTCTTCCTTTTCCTCCTCCTCCTTTTCTACCTCTGCCTCTTTCCCCTACCTCTTCTGTTTCTTTCTGTTGATCTTCCTTCATCTCTTCCTCCTCGTCCTCGTGTAGTTCCTGCTTCTTATCTCTCTCTCTCTCTCTCTCTCTCTCTCTCTCTCTCTCTCTCTCTCTCCTCTCTCTCTCTCTCTCTCTCTCTCTCTCTCTCTCTCTCTCTCTCTCCCGTCTTGCTCTTGACCTCACCTGTAAAATACAGTGGCTTACCTGTAGATTTCAGGGGTAAGGTGGTCACCGCCCTGTGTCTCACTACCACCACCACCACCACCACCACCACCACCACAACCACCACCACCACCACCCTGGGCTCGGCGTGACGCTGGTGCAAGCTTCACCACCACCACCATTATCATCATCCTCATCATCATCATCAACACAACCACTACTGCCATCGTTATCACCGCCACCACCACCACCATCACCAACATTACCACTACTACCTTCGTTATCTCCGTCACCACCACCATCGTTATCACTCACACAACGCCAAAACAACAACAAGCACTACTACCACTAACGCCACACACACCACCACTACTACCACCATCACGCCCACAACCACGCCCACCTCACCGCCAGCGTGCCGCCCACCAGAGCCCCCGGCATGGCTCAACTGGAAAGTGAGTACCTCCGTGTCTCGCCCGCTTCTTCCTCTGCTTCTTCTTCCTCTGCTTCCTTTGCCTCTGCTTCCTCTCCTTCTGCTTCCTCTCTCTGCTCCCTCCCCCTCTCCTCCCTCCCCCTCTGCTTCCTCTTCCTCTGCTTCCTCTCCCTCTGCTTCCTCTTCCACTTGCAGCCTTCTTGAACCTACGTTATCAAACATTCGCGTTAGCTACCTCCCTTAACAACTCTGGTCAGTCTGTGTAGATAAAGGATCCAGTTGAGTTTTCTGTAGTTTAATAACGAGGGATCCACTTGGTGTTTCTATTTATCTAATAACGTGTTTCTATTAATCTAATAAAGAAACTGAGTGTTTCTATTAAACTAATAACGAGGGATCCACTTAGTGTTTCTTATTAAACTTATAACGAGGGATCCACTGGGTGTTTCATAAATTAACGAGGATCCTGGTGTTTCTATTAAACTAATAACGAAAGTGATTCCATTGAGTAGTTTTCTGTAAATCCAATAACGAGGGATCCACTTAGTGTTTCTTATTAAACTTATAACGAGGGATCCACTGGGTGTTTCTATTAAACTAATAACGAGGGATCCATTGAGTATTTCTGTAAATCCAATAACGAGGAATCCACTGAGTGTTTCTATTAAACTAATAACGAGGGATCCACTGAGTGTTTCTATTAAACTAATAACGAGGGATCCACTGAGTGTTTCTTTTAAACTAATAACGAGGGATCCATTCAGTGTTTCTATTAAACTAATAACGAGGGATCCACTCAGTGTTTCTATTAAACTAATAACGAGGGATCCACTCAGTGTTTCTATTAAACTAATAACGAGGGATCCACTCAGTGTTTCTATTAAACTAATAACGAGGGATCCAGTGTTTCTATTAAACTAATAACGAGGGATCCACTCAGTGTTTCTATTAAACTAATAACGAGGGATCCACTCAGTGTTTCTATTAAACTAATAACGAGGGATCCACTCAGTGTTTCTGTTAAACTAATAACGAGGGATCCACTCAGTGTTTGGGGGCGTGGCTCACCAGAATCATGTCTGGACAAGAGGGACATGTAAGGCGTAAGTATCTTCTTCACCCCAATACTCTCGCCTTCCTAGCATGTTGTTGCTATTACCCTGCGTCTCTGCATAGCTTGGAGCCCTCTCTTAGGTGTTAGCACAGCGCTAAAGGTGCATAATGCCGAGTGGAGCTTTTACCATTGAGCTATTTCTTGGGTAGCTTTAGGTAGAGGTCGTTTTGATAAGGACCTGCCTCGCATGGGCCAGTAGGCCTTCTGCAGTGTTCCTACATTCTTATGCTCTTATGTTAAATGCAATCTGAATTAAAGGTCTGGTTTGCTTTTCATGTTTTTTTTTTTACATAAATGCTTCTTGGCATGCTGCCCTGGTCACCAACCTGGGTGTCAGTGAATGAAGCTACCATCTCTGCAGGTCCTTTAGAAAGGTTAATTCATGGTGTCTAGCCTTTCTACATGTGCTGAAGGGTGTCTCGTGTGTGCTGGCGCCTCTACTGTTTAAAGTATAATCGTGGACTGTATATATGAGTGGTGTATCTGTTTCCAGCTACAGTAGTGCCCATTGTTATGACCTCCTGGCACTGTCATTACAAACTTGGTACTGTCGTAAGAAACTTGGCACTATCACCAACTTGGCACTATCACCAACTTGGCACCGTCATCACAATCTTGGCACCGTCATCACAGTCTTGGCGTCATCATCAACTTGGTGCCATCAGTTTCGTACCATCAACTTTGTACCATCACCACCAGCTTGGCACCATCATTATCAACTTGGCACCATCGTCACTAGACACCATCACCACCAATTTGGCACCATCGTCACTAGACATCAGAACCAATTTGGCACCATCATTACCAGTTTGGCAAAATCATTATCAACTTGGCACCATCACTAGGCACCATCATCACTAGGTACTATCGTCACAAACTTGGCACCATCATTACCAACGGGCACCATCGTCATCAACATCTTCACTATCACCAATACCTTCTCCATCATCGTCACCAACACTTACCCCACCAACCACCACCACCACCACCACCAACAACAAAACAACACAACAACAACAAAAACAACAACAACAACAACAACAACGCCATTACTGCTACTCGTCAGTTTTCAAAACCATTTATCACATCTGTCAGACACTGCAACATCATGGGATCTTGATACAAGGAATTCTTCAACACTTGTCCAAACGTTGGACGAAGACCTACTTACACTAGTGGATAGTTCCACTGTGATCTCGCCTCCTCCTGCATCCACTCACCTGACTTCAGAATATAAGCCACTTCTCCGGCCATATGCTGTACCTTCTACAAGAGTGACGGATTAAACACATCGATTCTAGGGTGAGGGACTGATTACCTCAAACTCCTCCTCTCCTTTCCCCTTTCTGATTTGTATTGGACTGATGAAGCCACTGTGTGGCGAAACGTTCCTTAATAAAGATTCCCATATGTTGCACCACTACTACTCACTACAACCATGCTGCCAGTTTTCCCTGACACCAAACTACCGCCACCATCACAGGCATAATCACTTTCACTTCTCTTACTTATTGGCACCATCATTTTGGCACCATTATCGTGCTGCCATTATCGTTGTTGCTGCCACCTAATGCTATTGTGGTGCCAGTATTTTGTCTTAATCGTCTGAAATCTCATTCATTCTCTGGTCGCCATTTTTTAACGTGGTGCCAATATCACCAGGCCTAACTATCACCCATCATCATTATTACCTAGGCCTCTTTTATTATCACTATTACTACTTCAACCAGTTCCTCTATTACTACTTCTATTACTGTTACTAATTTTGTTACTATTACTGTTTCTGTTACTACTATTATTAGGGTAATACAGAGTTGTAGCAGTTTTTGTTTTTAATTGGTAACAAAAGGATTTATCATCCTAACACGCATATTTTTTCTGATGAAGAGGAGCCATCCATCAATTCATCAATTCCATTCTGGAATAACATTAAGCACATCATTAAAGACGAGAAGATGCCTGGGCGAAGTAGTCCTTCAAACACATGGCACCATAGAGCAGAATCTGGACGAGATCTTGGCTGCTAAGTTGCCGAAACCACGGTGGCGCAAGAGCCACGATTACGATACAACACGGTGGCGAAATATTGACCTCCACAGTGACGGGGCAGCCACGGTGATGAAGGTACCCTGTTGGTAGTCACGGTACCCTCTTGGTAGTCACGGTACCGTGTTGGTAGTCACGGCACCTTAGTAGTGGTAATATAGGTACACTGTTGGTAGTCACGACTTTGTGTTGATTGCGGTCAGACCGCCACTCATGTTTTATAGACGGTCATTTTGAGTGTTGACGAGACTTGAGTGTCCAGTGGTGGTATTGTTAGTGGTAATGACCTTCCCCTCCCCTCTCTCTCTGCGTCCTGGAGTTTCAGTGGTCGTATTGTTAGTGGTAATAACCCCTCTCTGCGTCCTGGAGTTTCAGTGGTCGTATTAGCGGTAATGACCCCTCTCTGCGTCCTGGATATCTTGGAGGTCCTTTTGTGTGTCCTGGAGGTCCCTTTGTGCCCGGGGGGACCTTTTTTGTATCCTGGAGGCCCCTTTCTGTGTCCAGGAAGTCCTGTATCCAGGAGGCCCCTTCCTGTGTCCAAGAAAACCCTTTATGTGTCCAGGAGAACCCTTCATGTGTCCAGGAGAACTCTTCCTGTGTCCAGGAGGCCCCTAAAGTAAAACACATCCTCCTCAATGCTAACTTGCTCGACTTCTAACACACAGTTTTCAGCAAGTGTTTAGGTTAGATTAGGATAGGCTAGGTCAGCTTAACTTAGGTTAGTTTAACGTAGATTGTCATCTGTTAAAAATAACCAATTATAACATACGACAACTCAAATAAGTGAAATCTTAATATATGCGCGATCAGAAAATGGTACCCACTGAGCGCACTCGACATTAACATAGATAATCACTGTTTAAACTGGTGTAACAGTCACCCATTTCACTGTCTTACCCACAGTGAAATACTGACTTTCACTAAGAGGATGGGCTGTGCGGTGGCAGATTCAGTGTGTGTGTGTGTGTGTGTGTGTGTGTGTGTGTGTGTGTGTGTGTGTGTGTGTGTGTGTGTGTGTGTGTGTGTGTGTGTGTGTGTGTGCAGTGACAGGTTCACAGTGTGTGGCCACAGGATGAGCGGCATCAGGTGCGCTGAACCACTAGTGTTACTGATAGTGTTCGGGCAGCAGTGGTAAAGGTGAACTGCTGGCAAAAAGTGTTGGCAAGTTGTGAATTAGTAAAGGTAAGAGAAGAGGAAGGGGGAGGGGGAGGGGAGGAGAGACGCTATGACCTTTAGCTGTTGCACAGCCGCACTTCTGACACACATGGCACGACCTCCCACAATGGTTGTGTGAACCTCGTGTAACGTGTTGACTTTTACCCCCCTCTCCTCTTCTGTCTTTCCCTGCCCTTCCCTAAGTTCCCAATCTCCAGGCAATCGCCTCTCCACCTCCCGCACTCGCACTGGTTTCGCGTCTGTGAGGTCGCCAAATCAGTCTCCGGTATCTCTTACTCCTGGACATTTTCATATTTCGTGTTTTGCGTCATACCGAGGAGTGGCAGATTGCCTCTAGAGGTGGGTGCATCATCTGCAAGGACTGCGTTACTTCACTCGAGTAAATCATAATGATGCTTCTCGGGTGTGGGACTCCGGAGGGGGGCAAAGAGGGCGGCGTTCTCAGGCACTGAAGTGTGAACAAGACTGCGGATCATTGTGAAGGATGCAGCCTCAAGGTGTTAACATTTTACATTACAAAAATATAAGTTCGCTGATTATGGCAATATTTTGTAGGAATATCAACAAATGAGGTGATATTAATTCTTACAGAAGTGACAAACGTCGATTCACGTGTTGATTATTCCCTTTCCTCCCTCGGGAACAGCACCAGTGGATGAAGTGTTGAACAAAAGCTGGTATTGTGGGAGCTTGTGGAAGAAAGTTCTTAGTAAGCAACAATGGACCTTGGTAGAGGAATAATCCTTGAAATCAAGAATTAACGTTAATTATTTTTCTTGGATTTCTTGCTTGTGTACATTCGGAGATGATATTTGAAGGCGCTACCAGGAGAAATAAAAATTAGAGTGCTTCGCTTTGTGTTAATCTGATATTAGTGTAGTAATATCTAAAGAGCAAAGAGTACTAAATAAGAAAAATAAACCCTGAAATGTAAAGCACAGAAATCTTTATTTGAGAAATGGGTTTGGCACGAAAGAAAGCATTTTTTTAATATGATAGCTGGCTGACTTCATGAAATTAGGAGTACAATCAAAACGCTAGAATATCCTGTGAAGAAGAGAGATTTCACAATCGAAGAACTGAAGGTAACAAAAGTTTAAGAATAGTATTTGCCATAACAAAAAATCAAGAAAGATATTAACAGGAAAAGAGATGAAGCAGCCTCTCAATAGCTTCAGAAAAGTGAGAATATCAAGATGAACATTAGTAGAGACCTTGACCACACTTTGCCAGTGAGGTAATAAAAGTGGTGAAGGTGTGCAGAGGAACAAGTGACAAAAGGCTGACAGTTTTAGCAACTTGGGTAGCAGAAGGACGAGACAGAACTTGAAGAAAAAGCGCGGAGTAGAAGGGTGGCAGGTTCATAAGTTTCGGAAAAGCATGTCAGTTTCGTGAGTTTTAGAAGGAACAACAATCGGGTTTGTGAGTTTAAGAAGAACGACATATTTGTGAGGTTTAAGAATATTGACAGGTTTGTGAGTTTTACGAAGAAGAACGACAGGTTCGTAAGTCTTCGTAAAAAGAAGGCCAGGTTTTTGAGTTTTTGGAAGAACATCAGGTAAGTTTTAGGAAAAAAATGTAATTAGATATGGGAGTTTCAGGAAATAAGAATGGCAAGCTGTGGGGTTCAGGAAGACTTAGAGAACAGGGGAGAAAAGAGGATAGAGATTGCCTGTATAAAGTGGTTGATAGTTCAGTATCTGGTGTGAAGGTAGAGCGAGGGGTGTGTAGACGCGAGACTCGTACAGCCAAGAACTCGACCTTCCCTAAATAAGTTTCGAAAATGTCGTCGTGTTACAGTTTATAATTTTTGTTCTTCAGCAGACATCATCATATACAAATTTTTGAACGTTTTTATCCGGATTAAATCTGGGATTGATTCAATACCATCGACGCTATCTGGGGCTGATTCAACAGCAGTGATGGTATATGGGGCTGATTCAGCAGCAGTGACGGTATCTGGGGCTGATTCAGCAGCAGTGACGGTATCTGGGGCTGATTCAGCAGCAGTGTGTTTTGCAGCGGCAGCTCACACATTCCTGCTTAATGTGGCTTTGCGGATTAATTGAAAAGTTGAAATAAATTTACTGCCACAGTGGTGCCAATTTCATCATTAGGGAGTATATAAACACATCCTTCACAAACACGTGAAACAAAGCAGTAGAACCAGGCGACGACTCTCCACGAGAGAAAAACAGAAACACTGCAGGATCCTGGAGATGTCTTCAAGCAGTCGCTACAGACGAGACACCTGCCAGCAAGCTGAAAAAAAATGTGATACCTGCATACTAAAAGGGGTTGGAAGGCATTCAGTTATAGGCTAGTATTGTTAACATGTTTATCTGGAGAGTTTATCTGGAGAGAGTTCCGGGGGTCAACGCCCCCGCGGCCCGGTCTGTGACCAGGCCTCCTTAGGTCAGTGTCCCAGGATGCGACCCACACCAGTCGACTAACACCCAGGTACCCATTTTACTGATGGGGAACATAGACAACAGGTGGAAAGAAACACGTCCAATGTTTCTACTCTGGCTGGGAATCGAACCCAGGCCCTCACCGTGTGAAGCGAGAGCGTTAACCACCAGGCCACCATGTTATTTAAGATTTTTGTGAAAGTTCAAAGGCTGCAAGGAAAGTGGGTCTTGGATACTCTCAAGAAATTTTTAAGAGGAAACGAACACAAGTGATGTATGTTCAATAACATAATTAGCAAGTTTATTCAGGTATACACAAATACAGTTGCATGGCTTATCATACAGAACAGCATATGTATAGAGAACCTAGGATAACCCCCAAAAAATAATCAAAGTTACTTATTTCCATTAGCGTCCTTGAGTTATGTCTAGTGCTGTCCTATATTTAAACACCTTTAAATGGCAGAGTTGTCGTTTGTTTCATATGTAACATTAAATAAATATACCATATACTGTAAGTTTGTGAAGGATTGTTTGGTTATCCCAGTTGATGTTATGTAATATTGTGGTGTTGGTTTATTTTGTAAATTAGGAGCCACACACGGAGGGTCAAAATGTTACTTGGTCATAAGTAATATAGCGCGTAAATGTTGCTTGGTCATAAGTAATATAGCGCGTAAATGTTGCTTGGTCATAAGTAATATAGCGCGTAAATGTTGCTTGGTCATAAGTAATATAGCGCGTAAATGTTGCTTGGTCATAAGTAATGTAGCGTGTAAATGTTACTTGGTCATAAGTAATATAGCGCGTAAATGTTGCTTGGTCATAAGTAATATAGCGCGTAAATGTTACTTGGTCATAAGTAATATAGCGCGTAAATGTTGCTTGGTCATAAGTAATATAGCGCGTAAATGTTGCTTGGTCATAAGTAATATAGCGCGTAAATGTTGCTTGGTCATAAGTAATGTAGCATGTAAATGTTACTTGGTCATAAGTAATATAGCGCGTAAATGTTGCTTGGTCATAAGTAATGTAGCACGTAAATGTTACTTGGTCATAAGTAATATAGCGCGTAAATGTTGCTTGGTCATAAGTAATGTAGCGCATAAATGTTGCTTGGTCATAAGTAATATAGCGCGTAAATGTTGCTTGGTCATAAGTAATGTAGCGCGTAAATGTTACTTGGTCATAAGTAATATAGCGCCTAAATGTTACTCGGTCATAAGTAATATAGCGCCTAAATGTTACTCGGTCATAAGTAATATAGCGCGTAAATGTTGCTTGGTCATAAGTAATATAGCGCCTAAATGTTACTCGGTCATAAGTAATATAGCGCCTAAATGTTACTCGGTCATAAGTAATATAGCGCCTAAATGTTACTCGGTCATAAGTAATATAGCGCCTAAATGTTACTCGGTCATAAGTAATATAGCGCCTAAATGTTACTCGGTCATAAGTAATATAGCGCCTAAATGTTACTCGGTCATAAGTAATATAGCGCCTAAATGTTACTCGGTCATAAGTAATATAGCGCCTAAATGTTACTCGGTCATAAGTAATATAGCGCCTAAATGTTACTCGGTCATAAGTAATATAGCGCCTAAATGTTACTCGGTCATAAGTAATATAGCGCCTAAATGTTACTCGGTCATAAGTAATATAGTATACTTCGTAAACTCTGAGAAACATTTTAGGGGAACATATCTCCTAGAGAAGTATATAAGTCTTAACATACCAGAAAAATGTCTCAGCTATATTGTACATATCCAAGACCTCATGATTAAATTTCTACCTGTTCTATGGCGCTGTATGACCCTTGTAAGTTTAGCGCTTCTTTTTATACTACTACTACTACTACTACTACTACTACTACTACTACTACTACTACTACTACTACTACTACTACTACTAACTACTAAATAATAATAATAATAATAATAATAATAATAATACCTGTTCTCTGATTATTTAGTCATTGAAAAAAAATTACCCAAAATTTTAAGAGGGTTGTTCCTATATATGAGACAGTTATGTCTAAGAGCCGCTTAGAATAATCGCTGCTACCATATTTCTGGCCTTAGATTTTAGATGGTTAAATTAAAATTATTCATTTACACGAAGATGAAATTTCGTTGTATTGATGTGAGAGTCACGTATTTCCGTGGCAGGAGCTGCCAACTCTGATAGAGACAGTCCACATCGAAATCCCATAACTAACACTTCGTTATATTATTTTACAGATATTAAAAGATGCATTTGTGTTGGATAACTTGACGTAATGTCTTTGTGAAAGTATTCCTTGTTACTTATTATGGTCATCTTCAATGGACCACCCTTCATGTAGATTATTGTGTACGAGTTTTTGTGTATTGTAATTATTAAGAATGTTGTACTTGTGAAAGAGTACATTATATGTTGTCGAGTGGCTAAGTGTATTATGTGTTTCAGTACCGTCCATAGTGGTGCACAACGGGTCGACCAGCGCCCCCGGCAGCCCCAGCATGGAACGGGCGGTGAGACCCCTCCGCCCTCATAGAACACTCTCCAAACAGGTAATGTGCACGCCCACTCTCTCTCTCTCTCTCTCTCTCTCTCTCTCTCTCTCTCTCCTCTCTCTCTCTCTCTCTCTCCTCTCTCTCTCTCGTGTACGTATTAATGAACCCCTCTTCAAGTAGATAGTATGTTTCCTCCTCTTCCCCCTGTACCCGTTGTTAAACCTCTCTCCAACAAGTAGTGTGCATCCCCTTCCTCTTTTTCTCGTACCTGTTACTGAGCCTTTCTTTGAAAAGGCTGTGTGTACATAGAGAGACAATCTAGAGGAATGATTCTGGTGTGGAGATCCTGTTAATGATGGAGTGGAGATTAAGCATGAAAAATTTAGTCTGTGATGGCTTCTCTGAACCATAAAAACTGGAGGAGCGACATTAGCTGTAGCATCAAAATACTGGTCACTACTTAGCACAGGAGGGCCAAAGAGAAATATGACAACATCACTGCCACTAAATCCAACATAGAAAAGATGACACTGATGCCTCTTAGTACCAGACCACCACTTGTGATCTTGAGAACTCCGTCTATAGTGAAACTGACTGGGAATCCTGGGACCCCCACACACGACTAAAATTGTGATGGCTAATAAGAACCTTTCTAAGTGATTAGGAGCCAAAGAAAAGCAGGCAGAGTGATGAACTGATCAGATTTTTCTGATACTCTTTTTTTCGGATGACCAGACATTGGGGAGGTAAATTATGAAACAGGAATAAGCGATTGGATGCTTGTTGATGTTTGACTACCCAGGGAAAATGGGACCGAAAAGCCAGGGGGAATGAAAGGGACTATCATTGGCATAACCCTTGCTAGCTAAAGTATTATATTTTTTAAAGTTCCGGTTCCTATTCATTTGATAAACATTGCTGCCCTTGTAGGTGATATATTAATTGTGGTATGTTGACCTTGTGTCTTGCTTTCTGTTTAGGAAATGTATTAAAGTTACCTCTCTAGAATTAGTTGGGGAGAGGTTCTGATAGTGATTATCAGTGAGGTAATCTCTAGCTTAACGTGGGAGTTGGGGATTTTGCTGGTTAGGTTTGTTCCTGACGACGAGAAGAAGTTATTTAATTTATTTACTGGTTTGGCGATGGGGTGGGAGGTTCAGTTGGTTTAGTTAGTATAATTTCTTTGGTTTAGGGATATTTTCACGGGGGGGGGGGAGGCTCAGAATAACCCGCTGTGGTGCTTGAGAAAGACAAAGTAACTAGTGTAGAGTGGTGGTGAGAGGGCGAGAATATCTTTCCTTACCTGGTCTATATCCGGGTAGCAGTCATGTAGTCATCAGTGATGTACACACACTCCAGGCTCACACACCTCCCTCACACCCCTCGCCTTCATCTTAGAGATGTGATCCATTCTGTGATGGCACATGACAGGGTAAACATAGCTTGTTTCTTCTCACTGTGTAACTATCATATACAGTATGGTAGCAGTACATTGTGGATGTATACAATTTTGTCAAATTAAAAAAAAAACATGTGGATGAACCACGTTGGGTGAGTGGTTCTGCTAGAATCGTAGGCCATTGATTATATCTCCTTAACATATCCAGAGTTTGTGTGCAGTAGAAGTTAGTGAATGTCTTTCCAAAGGAGTGAATCTCTCTCTCTCTCTCTCTGTGTGTGTACTCACCTAATTGTACTCACCTAATTGTGGTTGTAGGGGTCGATACTCAGCTCCTGGCCCCGCCTCTTCACCGACCGCTACTAGGTCCTCTCTCCCCCTGCTCCATGAGCTTTATCATACCTCGTCTTAAAACTATGTATAGTTCCTGCCTCCACTACATCTCTTGCCAGACCATTCCACTTCCTAACTACTCTATGACTGACGAAATACTTCCTAACATCCCTTTGACTCATCTGAATCTTCAGCTTCCAATTGTGACCCCTTGTTTCTGTGTCCCATCTCTGGAACATCCTGTCTCTGTCCACCTTGTCTATTCCACGCAGTATTTTGTATGTCGTTATCATATCTTCCCTGACCCTCCTGTCCTCCAGTGTTGTCAGACCGATTTCCCTTAACCTTTCTTCATAGGACATTCCCCTTAGCTCTGGAACTAGCCTTGTTGCAAACCTTTGCACTTTCTCTAATTCTTGACGTGTTTGACCAGGTGTGGGTTCCAAACTGGTGCTGCGTACTTCAGAATGGGCCTGACGTACACAGTGTATAAAGTCTTGAACGATTCCTTACTGAGGTACCGGAACGCTATTCTCAGGTTTGCCAAGCGCCCATATGCCGCAGCAGTTATTTGGTTAATGTGTGCTTCTGGCGATGTACTCGGTATTATACTCATTCCTAGGTCTTCCTCCTTGAGTGAGGTTTGCAGCCTTTGGCCACCTAACCTTTACTGTCTGCGGTCTTCTTTGCCCTCCTCCGATCTTCATGACTTTGCATTTGGCGGGGTTAAATTCTAGGAGCCAGTTTCTGGACCACACATCCAGCCTGTCCAGGTCTCTTTGTAGACCTGTCTGGTCCGCGTCTGATTTAATTCTCCTCATTAACTTCACGTCATCTGCAAACAGGGACACTTCTGAGTCTATCCCTTCCGTCATGTCGTTCACATATACCAAGAATAGCACTGGTCCCAGGACTGACCCCTGTGGGACCCCGCTCGTCACTGGCGCCCACTGTGATACCTCATCACGGACCATGACTCGCTGTTGCCTCCCTGTTAGGTATTCTCTGATCCGTTGCAGTACCCTTCCTGTTATACGTGCCTGTTCCTCTAGCTTCTGTACTAATCTCTTGTGAGGAACTGTGTCGAAGGCCTTCTTGCAGTCAAAGAAAATGCAATCAACCCACCCCTCCCTCTCATTTCTTACTTCAGTTACCTTGTCGTAAAACTCTAGTAGGTTTGTGACACAGGATTTGCCTTCCATGAATTCGTGCTGGCTGTCGTTTGTAATCTTGTTCCGTTCCAGGTGCTCCACCACTCTCCCTGATAATCTTTTCCAAGACTTTGCATACTTTGTGTGTGTGTGTGTGTGTGTGTGTGTGTGTGTGTGTGTGTGTGTGTGGTGTTTGTGTGTGTGTATTGTGTGTGTGTGTATGTGTGTGTGTGTGTATGTGTGTGTGTGTGTTTTATGTTTTTCCTTTTTTTCACTTATCCTCTTATTTTTAGTTCTCTCTATATCTTCTTCCTTTCCCTTCCTGCTCCTATCTTGTCATCGTTTTCCGTCTCGCAGAATTTCTTATCTCACCTGAAGATAATGCCTTCCAATTACTGAAGTGTGTTGCTATTGTGGGTGCTTCGTTGTGCTCTCCAGTCCACCTCACGTTTAACCTCAGCACTCTGTCTTCATTCTGTTGCTCACTAATTCTTACCATTTGATCTTATGTTGTCTGTGACCCTCTGGCCTACGTTGAGATGGTTCCCTCTGGCTTAAGTACTTTCCCTTGTACTTTAATCACCGAGGTGTGTGAGTCACTTCTCAGCTTCAACTTGATTGCCACATTTGACCTGCAAAATTGAATATAATTTGTGGTACGACCCATCATATGTTGTTCTTCAACCATATTTGCCCTAACTTTGTGTCTTCCCAGAGAGTGCAAATTCGGTGCCTTTAGCCTATCTTTGTAGGAGAGGTTCTTGATGCGCTGAATCAACTTTATCCTTCTCTGTACAGTTTCCAACGCATTGATGGTCATTCTGTAATACGGAGATCATTACCTCGTGATATATAACAGTTTAGTTGCCAATGATCTTTGACCGAGTTAGGTACCTCTCGTTAACACCATGCTTTTCACTAATATAATTTTGAGTGTGGTATCGAACTGTATTCGACTGTTCAGCACTTAAATTATGCATATTTTGGTCATTCGCGTGTAGTATTTGGCGTGGGAAGAGAGTTGCGTGCAGGTACAAGGTGAAACGGACAGCAGGTAATCCTGACCTCTGACTTTATCCCTAGGGCCTAGCTGAGTGTGCTGCAACACCTGCTATGGCCTAGGATAAAAACACCGGAATACTTAAATGCGACATGGCTTGCTCTTGTGTTCATTAGTGGACCTTCGCAGGAAGCCACGCCCACACACAACAGGTTCCTGGGGCGTGGTCAGCCCTAATAAAAACTGATAGATACCTGAAAAGAAGATAAAGCTGGAAATAACTATTAAAAAAAATCGAAAAAGATCGTAACGTTCCATATAATATTTTGAGGCGCATTATTTTGTAGGTAGAAGAAAATAAAAACCTAGTGAGGTGAGGGGGATAATTAGGCATATATAGGTATCTTTATTGGAAGACTTATAGCCAACCAGTGGCTTTATCGATTCAATATAAAGATTATATGTCTTCAAAAAAAAAAAAAGATACCTAGGTATTGCACACGAGTCCATCTTATTGGTATTGTATACTATTATTGCACCGATGAGGCGATGTAATAATGGTGAGCTGTGGTTCTCATTGGGTGTTGATGGTAACTAGCGAGGCGAGGCCATTAAAGGTGATGCCTGCAGGCGTTAACCCCGCCATTTTATTGATGAATGTTGTGTTTACAAGCAGTGAGGTCAGATACTCCGCCATTAAGGAGGTCATCACTGTGATATCGTTACTAGTGAAGCTTCACTCCTAGAATAAACCAGTGGTCGTCTTGTGGTAATGAAAGAGCACACATGTCTGCTGCACGCCCCTCTTAAAAGGTAATGCACGCCCGCCTACGTGGCCCTGCACGCCCGTCTTACGTGGCCCTGCACGTCCGTCTTACGTGGCCCTGCACGTCCATCTTACATGGCCCTGCACGCCCTTCACGGCAGGATTGCAGTGTAGCCTTATTTTAGGCACCTGATCTGTATGCTGATTTTCTCCTCACCTCTTCACTTGCCCTTTCTTCTGACCTCGTCACCTCTCCACCTCCCCTTTCTTCTGATCTCGTCACCTCTTCACCTGCTTTTTCTTCTGACCTCGTCATGTCTTCACCTGGCCTTTCTTCTGACCTCATCATGTCTTCAATTGCCCTTTCTTCTGACTCATCACCTCTTGACCTCCCTTCTGACCTCGTCA